GATATAGTGAATGCAGGGTCCGGGGAGAGCAGATATAGTGAATGCAGGGTCCTGGGGAGACCGGATATAGTAAATGCAGGGTCCGGGGAGACCAGATACAGTGAATGCAGGGTCTGGGGAGACCAGATACAGTGAATGCAGGGACCGGGGAGACCAGATATAGTGAATGCAGGGACCGGGGGAGACCAGATATAGTGAATGCAGGGTCTGGGGTTTACTAACACTTTAATGCATTCTATGCATTAAGGTAAAAAACCTTCTGTGCAATAGAACCCCCCTCCCCCTTTTATATTTACCTGAGCTCATTCCCAAACCAGCGGTGTGCATGGAGAGCTGGGGCTCTCCCGTCTCTGTTCCTCCTCACTGGGCAGATAGCAGCAGGAGCCATTGGGCAGTGGCTGCAGGGCTGAGCTGCCTGGTCTGTGTCAGCAGACAGAGCATCTCGGGAGCGAGCTTGCACATGTGCCCCCATAGGAAGCGGCTGTCTATGGTGAGCACTCGCTGAAGAGGAGGAGCCAGGAGCACTGGTGGGGGATCCCAGAAGAAGATCGGGACTGCTCTGTGCAAAACCAAAGCAGATGCTGTAAGTATGACATATTTATTATTTTGTTATAAAAAAAATTTGAAGTGAGGAGCTGATTGGTTACTATGAACAGCTGCACCAGATTTTTCACTCATAAATGGATGAAATTGAGATTTCTACCATTTTTGGTTTATTATTAAAGCTTATCTCCAGGCAAAAAAAAAAAAAGAAACCGTTTCCCCATGTAGTGGGGCTGTGCACGCACTGTACGGGGTAACGTGGTAGCAAACCTAGTGTTCTGGAAAGTTGCTGGTCCTATTGGTCTCTTCTGTCAAAAATAATTCCTCGTGCCTGTCAGCCGTGATGCATAATGAGGTGTGCATGCACATCTCAGCAGACATTTATGGCCCAATCTATGCCGCGTTGATGTGACTCCTGTGCGCATGCTCTGGGGTGACGTCATCATGACCCAGCCATTCAAGCAGCCGAAGGCACAAAATCTGGCAGGGAGACTCTGCAATGATGGAAGCACCCAGGACCCACCGGACCAATCACAGTGCTGTGCTGGAGGGCTAGGTTTGACCGGTAAGTATGCTATAATGTGTTAATAATCTGTGCATACTAACACATTACAGCATAACTCACCTAGGGGACCCCAACAAAGAAGAAATTACAACGGACTTATCTACCGCTTTAAATGCTTGTTTTTTTCTCTTTGAAAAAGAAGATTTACTTACCTAATCCTCCCAGCACAAGATTGGTCCAACACCCATGCACGGTTTTGAGTTTTAGAATGTTCCTGACGTCATCACGCCAGGGAAGGCTCCATAGATCAGGAACAGTCCAACGCTGGACAGTGGGGGAGTGCTGTTTTCCGATAGAACGGAGGATCAGATGAGTATAAGCTTTCTCCTCATCCCTAGACAAAATGAGCAGTTGAGCTGTACTAGTCACTTGATCCCATCTATCCTGATTTGTTCAGGACAGGCCAGATGCTAAAAGCGTGTGTCCCTTAGCAGCCGTTCCGGCACGTTGAAACTGTGCACATGTGCAGTGTGCTCTCCACTCTATCTGCTGCGGTCAAGCACTCCAGGTCCACAGGTACACCTTCCTCTCCAGCAGGAAGAACAGTTAACAACGCAGTTGGGACATTACCAAAATTCAGGCCAAATCTGGTGAGATTAGCCGTCAGATGTAGAAGTGACTTAGATGGTCTTGTTATAGAGATTTACAGCTATGAGGCTATAGGGCAGTTGTTCTCAACCTTCCTAATGCCGCGACCCTTTAATACAGTTCCTCATGTTGAGGTGACCCCCAACAATAAAATTATTTTCGTTGCTACTTCATAACTGCAGCAGCTCTTCTCATTCCCGCAAGGCGTCACACCTCCCCCATCCCCACCACACAGAGCAGCCAGCTCTCTTCACACACGGCCCGCTCTCACCTTCACACCGCCGCCATCTTGGATCCACTCTCCCCTCTCCTACACCTAGTCCCCAGCTAGCCGACTTCCTGACAGAGGCCACGCCCAATCTGAGGACGTCAAAACTTCTTCATTGGCGCTTCCCATTGACACGTCACCTCGTCTGGTTGGTCAAGTTCTAGTTTAATCCCGATAAGCCCCGCCTCACATTTACAGCTGGGATGATGTCGCCACTCAGCGATGATTGGGGGAGCAGTGCAGACAATGGGCGGGGCAGATGTTGTGGGAGATGATAGACTGGGGCAGAGGGGTCAGGTGTCATCACTGCTGACTGTTCTCTTACTCGTATGTGGGCGTATCTGCATGTGGGCGGACCCGTCTGGAGACGGATAGAGGAGCGATGTCTCCTTTCCTAAGACCATCGTAAATATGTGTTTTCCGATGGTTTTAGGCGACCCCTGTGAAAGGGTCGTTCGACCCCCAAAGGGGTCGCGACCCACAGGTTGAGAACTGCTGCTATAGAACAAGGTTACTTAGGCACAGAAAGGGCTGTTATATTTCTTAGAATAAATTCAAGACAAAAGTTTTTTTTGTTTTTTTTTCAGTGCTTAAGCTCAATGAGCATTTCTTTCTTGTCCTTTGAGGGGCATAGGATATCTGAAGAACAATATCTTAGAGATCCAGGGATCTCGGACTGTTGGAAGGTTATTTGAACCAGAATAATCAAGGAGAAACCAAAAGTCTTGCTGTGGCAGGAGAGGTAGATTGGATCCTGATATTTGCATTTCAGCCTTGTCAGCCATGTACATTCCAGGTGTAGTCAGCAGAATATTGTAGCCAGCAGCATCTGGACCTGGAGGAGTGGTGTCTACACCTGGAGGTGTTCCAGGACCTGTGCCGTAGATGGGAGGCAACGGATGTGAACCCCCTGGCCTCCTGGTTAACCACTTACCCTCCTGAGGATTTACCCCCCTTCTTGACCAGGCCATTTTTTTTTTCATTACGGCGCTGCGTTACTTTGACAATTGCGCAGTCATGCAATGCTGCACCCAAATGAAATTTGTGTCTTTTTTTTCCCCACAAATAGAGCTTTCTTTCTGTGTTATTTGATCACCTCTACGTTTTTAATTTTTTGCTCTATAAGCAAACAAAGACCAACAATTTTGAAAAAAAAAACAATATTTTGGACTTTTTGCTATTAACCCCCCTGGCGGTATTCCCGAGTGTAGGTCGGGGTAAAGTTTCAGTACCAGAAGCGGTAACCCCGAGCTACACTCAGGAATACACTGCAGCGTTGCTCCGGGATCTCTTCTGCACTTACCTTGTCCTGCGCTCCCGCAATGTCCCCCCTGCAGTGTCCCTGGCAATGTCCTCCGGCCTGTTCTTTCTGCCTGGAAACTGAGAAACGTCCATGGCGTCCAAAAAGCGTTCCTTTAGGTCAATAGCGGTTTTTAGACCGGCTAGAGAACAGCGATAGTAAATCAGAACCACTTGCAGAATTGAGTGATAATGATTCGTGGGGAAATTTGTCATCAGACACTGAAACCGATTTGCGACTTTGCTCAGCGATGTGCAAACTTGGCGCTCTATTTCAAATTTCAGTGTTTTTGGTTTTATTACATTATTACAATAAATTTATTATTATATTATTTTTTATGATTATTATATTAGAATTTATGATTTCGTGTTTCACATTTTATCATTCCCGGGATGTTGTTTACTAGACTCTTGTTCGGACAGATTTCAGTGAGTTATTCCTAAAAATTACAGGCCTACAATACAAAAACAACATATTTCCATGCAAAAAACAGTACCGCTTTGAAGCACAGAAAATATGGACATAATCAGACCGCTAGGGAGGTTAAGAGTTTCAGAAGCCGGGAGGGGGGCGGGGTTTTTAGGGCCATGTGACCACCGTGGTTCGCCGTCAAAGATCCCGATCGAAAAGGGAGATCGGGACTTTTCCGTGAGTCACGGACGTACGACATATTTCCATGCAAAAAAATGTACCGCTTTGAGCACAGAAATACTGATATAATCAGATCGCTAGGGAGGCTACACATGGGGGGGAGCTGCATGCAAAAAGTTTATTACCTTAATGCAGAGGATGCATGAAGGTAAAAATACCTTCTGCCTTTAGAACCACTTTTTGCAGGATGTTAGATGTTACGCCTGTATGTAGAATGAGGTGCGAATTGGACTCCCCATCCTAAACAGCCCATCCCCGTGTCAGAATTCTCCCCTATAGCAGCTACTACTTTTTTAAATTGCCATGGCTCCACCCGTACCGGCTCATCATCCATTTTTGGAGATCTGTCAATGAATGAACTACAAGTCCTGTCTGCCATTGCTGCAGTTTGCATTGGAACACGAGTATGGTAATCTCCGCGCTCATAGTCCATTGACACTTCCTCCAATTCTCCAGCTGAAAGCCCGTACCTTGGTATGGGAAGAGAGCTGAAGGAAAAGTCTGCATGATGCGGGTATTGCACCCATCATCTATTGGTCATGGGTGCAATGCTTTGAAGGCTCCTATGGGCAAAAAAAAAAAAATCTCCATGCTCATAGTCCATTGACACTTCCTTCAATTCTCCAGCTGAAAGCCCGTACCTTGGTATGGGAAGAGAGCTGGAGGAAAAGTCTGCATGATGCTGGCATTGCACCCATCATCTATTGGTTATGGGTGCAATGCTTTGAAGGCTCCTGTGGGCAAAAAAAAAAATAACTGCATATTTTCACGTTTTGTTCCTGCAAATATATGTGCATTTATTATTATTATTATTATTATTAATAATATTTTTTTTCGGGTGGACTTTTAAATATATACCATATGCTTTCTAACATTTACATGTATTGCAATTACATTGCACAGTACATAAAACTTTAGAAACCGTTACATTGCGGTTAGCTACCAAAGCGCACAGATATTTGTACGCCACTTATATAGACACTTATATAGACACTTATAGGCATTTGTCTTCTAGATAAAATATTCATTTACTTTTAAAAATGAAAAAAAATTTTTTCCTTTGATCGGTGAGAAAAAGCAGAGCC